CGGCGGCAATTGTAAGGGGAGGAAGAAAGGGAAAATTCAAGGGGTTCGAGCGACTACGAATTTACTAACCTCAATTAACTTCAACCCGGATTTCCACACAAATAACTTGGACGAAATCTAGAACTCACAAAGAGATCTATTTTCTCCGTCGAACTCACTAAGAGATCTTGGAGGGAGGAACTCACAAAGAGAACAAGTAGTAAATTTCATTTCATCAAAACTGAAATTACAATGCATGAGGCCTCATATAAATAGGCAGAAATGAAATAACAAGAAATGACACAAATGCCCTTCCGGGATACATAAGCGACACAATGCCCATAAGGACAAAAGCGGAAAAACATCAAAATAACATAAACTACTAAATAAAATGACAAAATACAACTCATGATCGTGGCCGTCGATCTCCGGCATCTCCTGATGGTACATGTGTCGAAATCGCTGACGATGTCCTCATCACTTTGACTCCAAAATTTCAAACCTTCCTCCCTACTTACCTTTTCCACCAAACCTCCTTTGGAAAACCTTGATGTCAATTGTTCAATCAAATTTGAATTTTGAAATCTTTCCAGATTTAGAACTCTATTTTTGGAAAGTTTTAAAATCAAATCCACATTAATAATTGGATTGGATTCAAAATTCTCCATTAATACATTCCATATTTAGCCACTTGTATTTTAGGAAAGAATTTGAATTCAAATTCAAAATGAATTTGAAAATCTAACACCTTCCTAAATAAAATCGCCTAAGTTTGGAAAGCCCCTTTAATTTGTAATCAATCGCAAATATGAGATTGATTATTCAATTAATTCCCATTCCCCCAGGACCCCCACATTCATTGCACCTAGACATCTCACCCTCTCTCTCTCTTGGCCGAAATTCCCAATGCCCACCTCCTTTAATTCTTTCCAAAAATAAGGACTCTCCCGTTGGAATTAAATCCAAATCATCTCCTTCCCAACCCCAATTAAATCAATTCCTGAATTAATTCATGGGAGGAGACAGCCTTAAGGAAAGCTCTTGATCCCTACTCCACCTCCTTCCCTTTAACGGATCAGCCAAAATTTGTTTTCCCCTGAACTGAGTTGTTGTCCAGGATTGGAAGCTTGTGGACCTGCTGTCCAGAGCCTTCCACACGCCCAAATTTGCTGCTCCTGTTGTTTGGTTGCTGTCCAGAACTATTCCAAGTGCCGAACTACTGTCCCGACCTTCATTGCTGCTGTCTACAGCGTCCATGGTTGTTGTCCAGCTGTCTTGGAGACCTCCTATGGCTGCCCTGATGTCCAGACGGTCTCCAATAGCCATCCTGAAGGCTCCCTGATCTGAAGCCGCTGTCCATCCTTCCCTAAGCATATAATCGGTCACGCCGGAGCATAGTAACTCCTAACTCCTCTACTTTGGGTAAACTCTATCCCCAACTCTTTTATATTCTTAGTTTACTTCTCCAACTTGGTTATACTTTGATTCACAAAGCTCATGTCAAGCTCTTCACCGCTAAGCTTAGAGAACTAGAGAGTTGAGTGAGGGACTCGTGCATAGTGCCTAATCACATTTTTAATTTAGGGATTTACATTGCAAACCATCATGTATGCAATGTTAGATTAATTGATTGTTGTACGATCTTAACTCCTATGCATGTAATTTAGCCCAAGCTTGTTTTACCGCTCTTTGTATTTTATCTTGTCATTTAAAATCAATATAAAGGAAATAATTATTGTGGCTACTAAAATTAAGCGTGCAATTTTCTTAATCTAGTCACCCTTGCATGTACGTTCTACATCAATACTCTAATATGACGAAGCAATGGAGCATATAACAAGCATGCAACATTATTCGTGCACTTCTTTTATTAAATAAATAAAATTTACAAATTTTTAAAAAAAGTGTATGTGTTTCAAAAAATTTTAAAAATATATAAAAATAAAATTTAAAATTAAAGATTTTTCCCATTTAAAAAAAGCACTTAATGAGGGGGACTTAGCAAGAAATAAAAATCTAAACTTGCAAATTTAATTTCTAACCAATAATGCTTGTCATCATTAAAAATGAGAAATTTGTTTTAATCCAGTGGTCCAACAATAAGTTTTGATGATTAAAAACATTATTGAATGCTTCATTTACTTATTCCTACTTCACATTTTGGATATTTGTTTGTCTTCTACTAACTGATGCGGACATCCGACGGTGGACGTTAATCAAAGGAAGAGACGAAGATCGACGGCCAAGATCCCTCCATTATATCTTAATTTATTAATTGTATTTTTTATTTAATTATGCATTTTCCGATTTTACCCGTACTTAAGGGTCTTGTCTTATGTAAGCCCAAGGGGAAATGTTGTCTTTTAGTTTCTTTTAAGGCCTATATATAGAGGTCATTGCTCTTGTATTAGACTATGATAGATTATTAATAAAAAAAGTTTCTACACTCTTGTTCTTTGGGAATAACTTTGGTGAGATCTCTATGCGAGGGAATAGTAGTATCCACCAGCCGCAGGATGGGCCCGAGCTCGTGGTTGAAGTCCTTTGGTGAAGGGCAATGTATCACCAGTCAACCATAGGAGGCATCCAGGCTCACAGTTTTATCTTTCTTTCTCTACACTTCTTTTCTCCTTCTCGCTTGACCGCCGGCTATACCCCCTCCATAGCCGCCAGCCAAGCTTCTCTCTTACCTCCTCCCACTCTCTAAACCGAACTCAACCACCACCTCCTAGCCGGCAATCCCATCCCCTCCATAAGCGTCGGTCCCCTTCCCCACAACCCTCCCCTTCCCCACCGAAATCCACACCTCCGCCCTCTTCCCTTGGCTCCACCCATTCAAATCTTACATTCAAAGCCCTCCAATTTGAGCCCTTTTTTTAAACAATTTAATTTCATATGCAAATAAATTTGAATTTTGAATTTGTTTCCTAAAATGAGAATCCCTGTTTTAGGAAAGTTCCTAAATTCATCCCCATTTGAATTTTAAATAGGATTGGAATTAAATCAATCCTTCCTAATTTAAAATTCTAATTCAAGCAATCATTAATTTCCCTCTCTTAAACCCCTCCCCCCCTCCTTGAAACTGACGGCCCCTGCTCATCCACAATTTTGAATTTTAAATTCAAATAGCCTCTATATTAATTTCCTAAACAAGTCAATTGTTAATTTAGAAAGCTTCTTAAATTGAATTCAAATAGAATTGAATTTCAAAAACCTTTCTGGATTAATAAATCCATTTTAGGAAGCCACTCCAATCCCTCCAAATCTGAAATTAATTTCAAATTTAATTCTCAATCTCAATTAATGCTTGATTCACATTCATTGAACCTAGACACCTCATCCTTCCCTCTCACTTGGTCGACCCCTCTCTCCCCTCTATCCCAATGATTTCCTTCCTAACTAAAGGCCCCAATTAAGGAGATAATTAATTACTCTCTTCCCTCCCTTCTTTGTTGTTTGAATTTCAAATTCAAATTCATTAATTAAGAAAAATCTAAGATGGAATTTTAGATCTTTAATTCTTATTACCCCCTCCATCCGCTCTACATCACTAACCTTTCAGGTACAACATACACCTAGAAAAGATTAAAGAACCGACTCAATACAGTGTAACATTAGGGTAAAAGTTAATTTATATGTTACAGAGTCTATATTTTTCATTTTTCTTGAGTCTATTTCTATACTAGGTATATGTTAACTTAGCAACCGTGTATACACACCTAAGGGGCTAAAATTGAATGTTTAATTTTTTTTTTTGTTAATCGCACTGTATGATCTAGATCGTATTGTACAATTTATTCAAACATTAAAACATTAAAATATTTAATTAAGTGAGATTAATTAAAATTGATATATAACTAATTGTACTATACAATTTACATATCATACTGGACGATCAAGTATATTAAGAAACCCCGTTGCCGAATCCTGGTTACTTAGTTAAACCACCTTGTGTTTGAACACAAGTAACATCTCATGCATATACATTATTAACCCCTTTCTTATGTAGAACTCTCCATAGCACTTCTCTTGGAACTTCATTATATGCTTTCTCTAAATCAATAAAAATCATATGTAGATCCTCTCTCTATACTTCTCCATCAAACCTCTTAATAAATGTATAGCTTCCATAGTAGACCTACTGGCATGAATCCAAATTGATTTTGAGAAACATTAGTGTCATGCCGCAACCTATGATTCATAACTCTCTCCCATAGTTTTAAAGTATGACACTATACACATTAACTTAATTCCTCTATAATTCGCACAATCATGTACATCACCTTTATTCTTAAAAATAAAAATCAACACACTCGTTCTCTACTCATCTGAAATCTTTTTAGTCTTCAAAAAAATATTAAAAAGTTTAGTAAGTCAATAAATTCCTTCATCTCCTAAGCATTTGTACACCTCTATTGGAATATCAACAGGTCCAACAGTTTTCCACACTTCATTTTCTTTAAAGCATCTTTAACTTCAGTTTTACTAATACACCAATAAAAGCAAAAATCTTTATTTTCATTTAGGGCGTTAAAGTTACTAAAGTCAATCGCATTCTCATAATTTTCATTGAAAAGTTTAGCAAAATATCTCATCCACATTTATTGAATATCATCTTCTAATAAAAACACTTGAGCTTCACCCTTAATACACTTCACTTGAACTAAATCCTTACTACTACTATCTATTTGTTTAGCTAACTTATACATATATCTTTCCATTGGTAATAGTTGATGCAGCTATAATAAGTAATATTAGATGGAGATTAAAAATGCTTAAGGCAAAACAAAGTTTTAACACAGCAATGAAAGCAGCTCAGCACCAAATTTCTGGTATCAATAATATAGGACAATAAAAGCACCTTTGGCTATTATGCAAGACAAAGAATGTAGTTACCAACGAGGTTAATTTCATTGACTTACTGGCTAATCTTCTAATTACTAAAGAGATCAAAGCCTGACAGAGGAATGAGGTAATAATTAATTGATAGCAAGTTAAACAGAAGAGACACAAAAACAAACCCATATCATCTTCTTCACTTGAAATAGATTGTTTCAGCATGGACTGGTAGCCGTAAGGCAGTCTTGATAGTACAGATTGATCAAGATGTTTTTCCATAATATCTATGCACCTGTGCTAGAACCATGATTTCTAGATAATTAAGAGCATGGAAAATTGGTCTTTGATAAAATCAAAAGAATTGCATCAACTTTACCTCTTCGCAAACCTTTGTTCTTGTTCAGAAAGACGATTCCAAAGGTTAGTTTTTGAAATGTGGACCTTATATTTCTCAATCTGCAAGGAGGTTCAAAATATTAAATAGGTCCAAAACTTGCATTTAAAGACTCAGATCTGAAAAGTGTCCTGCAAAACCTTTTGTAGACGGATTCTTAGGTATGATCTTAAAAGGAATAGTGCCCGGTCTAAGTCCATTTGATAGAGAGGCACCACAAGATCATCGGATCTATTCTCAGTAAATTCCTCGACCGTTTCCTCCTGACTTGCAGGCAAAAGCCAGGCTCAGATTTAAAGAGAAATTGGTTTAAATTCAAAGAAAGCAATAACTTATTCGGTATAATCAAAGAAAACTTTTATTCGGGATTATTAAAAGGCCATTACAAGGACTTTTAGAAATGTTACATTTAGAAAATTGCAATAGCTCAATGGAAAATTTTTGCCGCATAATGATTCAACTTCTAATGTCAAACTATAGTAACTTAAGCAACCACGGTAATAAAAAGTCAAGAGAAACAATAATGGAATAAAATTTACAAATCAAAATATGGCCTAAGATGAGGGAAAATAATACAACGTCATCCTTTATATAGGTAAACCCATTTTAATAAATGAAATCTCCTTACTCCACTACTATTAAAATGGATACAAACCTCACATACCACTCATGAATGCACAAGAAAAAATATGGATTGAGATTCCAAACAATGACCGTTAAACTTTGGAAATAAAAGGCAATATCAGGAACAACATTAAGATGGTTCTTTTCAAAATCATTAAGATTTAGAAGGTCATTAAAATTTTCCCAAATACATCTTCCAAAAGATACTCCTGTTAAAATGGTACTCATAAAAAATAGGAAATATCTATCAACAATTCTCATGTCCCACTGGAGTCAACTGCATGAATTCCAGAATTCATCAACAATTATCAAACTTTGTGCCGTTAAAAATAATTCTAGCAAGTTAATTCCTCAAATAACTCCAAAAGATGTGACAAAGTCACAACATCTGAAACAAAAAACATGATGCTTTATGAGGGAAATATATTAATCATAAGCATTAAAAAACCAAGAAGAGAGACCTGGCTAAGTAAAAAGATTAATGAAGAAGAAAATGTGCTTTTAAAAAATCAAAAAGTTTAACACTGTTGAGGTTTATAACAATTATAAAAAGGTATAATTCTAGCAAAAAAAGATGACAAGTAAAACAACAGCTAGAACTTTTGAAGATTTATATAATAGTATTGGTACTGACAAAGGAGAAAAAAATATAAAATGGCTAAGATAAAAAAGATAAGAAATGTAGAAACTTCAATCAAATTAGATGCATTAGAAACAAAGATAAGAAGACGCAAGTTGCATATGAAAACATAAACAAAAGATGGGAATGTTATTTGGAGAAATTACAACATGAGATTTTTAAGAAAAAAATTATTCTAGAAAAACTTAATGAACAAAATAATGAAATAAATTATAGATTGGCCCAAATAAGAGAAAGAATAGTTGAATATAAAAAGATGAATAATGGATATGATTTAGATCCATATGAAATGCCCATAGGGAGGCGCAAACGAACAGAGCACGAGCAAGCACAAGGTTTGTTTAACTCGACTTATTAAGCAAGCCGGCAAAAAATTCTCTGTTTGTGCTCTGCTCATCAATTTATCAAGACAAACATGAGGTACTCACAAACATGAAGTCTTCTTGAAAGTCATATATAAATTTTAAAATATATGTGCCCCAAAGAATACATAAACATCATATGAATAAGAGTATAAGTGATCTATAAATATACATGCACACACACACACACATATATATATATATATATATATATATATATATATGTATACAATGTATACATATAGATGTATGTATATATATGTATGTATATGTATGTATATGTATGTATGTATATGTAGGTATATATATATATATATATATGCAAACATGTATAGAATGCATATTGTTTAGTATATATAAACATAATCAAGCTCATTGCACAAGGTCTTGTTCATCTTTAGCTTTTTAAATAAGCAAGCCTATAAAAACAAATCAAATATAAGCTAATTATCGAGACGAACAAATTGAAATTGAACAATGAGCTTCTTTTTACAACCCTAGATGTCCCTTGATGCATGGAGAGTCATTAGGATATTGTAATGATTTGTTTAACAAACATTTTTAATGAGTTTTCAAATATAAGAGGAAGAAACATTAATAGATAATAATATTTTTGAAACAAATATTTAAGATAAAGAGTTGATCAATATTATTATAATTACATAGGAATCAAACTTATGGGTTATTTATTGAAGTTGTTATAGCGGGTAATGTGCTATACAATTGAATATTTAATGCCAAAATCGAAGAACGAGTTTGATTTCATGCTAGGAAGATAGACTCACTAAGCAATTTTGCATTAAAAACAACTAATGAAAATATAGAGAGTAGAGTCCAAATGGTTTATATTAACATTGTGAAAAAATAAAATCGAGTAACATGAAATTTTATTTATTATACATTGAGGAAAAAAAGTAATCTATCAGATTTATGCTGAGTTATTGAAAAATTTATGATGAACACTAACCGACATTAAAAGTGATTGTGAGGACAAAGGATTTTCAATTACAGTAGTCAAGGATCAACATCGAGTCCATGATAATGATTATGAAGATGCCAACAAATAATACTCAAAGTGAGGTGCGTAAGCATAAGGTTTTCACAAATGCCATATTTTTTGCTAGTGTGATATTAATTAAAATAAGCGGGTAATCATATAAATGGAAAGCATGCATACAAAATAAAGCTCTTAGAATTACAATAGCAAATATTACGTATATGATATACAATTTTAATAACTATAATATTTAAAATTAGCATTTAATAATATTTTTTGTTAAAGTATTATAACAATTTTCTCAATTGTTATATCAAGAAAAACTACTTCAATTTCTCATGTTTAAAGGCCGAACCACAACTAAGGAGTGAGAATATGAGTGTAAACAAGCCAAAAATAAGTGAGATTGATGTAAGACTTGATTAAATTTATTTGTCTATATTTAGCTCATGTTTGAAATTTTTCATAAACAACTTATTCGTTTTCGATTTATTCAAACTCAAACTAACTTATCTGACTAAAACTATGAAAAATTTTAAATTTCAAACTTTTTTTTTTAATTTAGCATACACAATCAAATAATAAGGATATATTAAGTTAAACAATTCATATATATATATATATATATATAGAGAGAGAGAGAGAGAGAGAGAGAGAGAGAGAGTCAAACACAATGGAACAGGTTTATTTCGGCTTGGCTCATTCAAGAAATCAGTTCAAAATAACTGTTTAAAGCTCAGCTTGTTTTCATAACAAGCGAACTCAAACTATTTAGCGAACTAAACACAAGTTGTTGAATCCTATTTAAAAGAAAAGGGAAACCGGGATTTATATCACCGCACATCACTTAGGAAATATGCTATTAAACCTTTTTCATTTATCCCCGAAGTGATAGTCGACTAAACTACCTACAAAATGTCAATTATAATTTGATAGATCTGTTAATGTTCTAGTCACAAAATAAATAAATAATCAACCAATAATAACATCAAAACCCTAAAAATAGGCAGAATGTGAGAATCAAAATCGAGAATCTCTACTCAGTTAACGAAACCAGGAGCGAATGGATAGAGCACTAGGTTGAATGGATAGAGCACTAGGTTGTAAGGTTTATACGAGGAGCTGAATCTGCTCCCTGGCCCTTTGAACCAGGCCAGCCTCAAACTGGAGGATCTCCGGCGCCGCCTTCTCGTTCCGCCACGCCTTCTTCAGAAGATCAACATCTGTTTGTGCCTCCATGGCTGCCGCCACCTCTTCCTCTTCGCTTCGTCCCCCTAGCTGCGATTCCATGTCTCTCTCTTTAAGGCCTGTTTGGATGCAGGATTTAGGCAGGATTTGAGCTAAATCCTGCCAAACGCCATAAAATACGAAGTAAATCTCACGGTAAGTCTAATCTCTCTACTTCATGGCATTTTAGCGATTTTCGCCCTTCGCAAATCCGACTTTTTTGCGGATTTCGTAAATCCGACCAAAGAAGCGAGCCAAAGGGGAGAAATATCGTTACCTTCGCGGCGAGCTCCCTGTGCAACTTCCGATTCCACAGGAAAAACGCCGGAGGACGAGGCGGAGAAGGTTCGACTCTTTTAGAACTCTACTTCACGCGAAGCAGAACAGCAAACCCTACAAAGGCAATGGCAAGCGACTCGTTGGAAGCTCTCGCCGCGCGAACGGAAACGAACCAGCCGAAGAGGGAAAGCCAGCCGCCTATTAGATTAATTCTTTTTTTTTTTTAATTAGGCATTAATTTAATTATCTTAATTGATATAATTTAAAATATAAATACTTAATTAAATGATTAGTACTTTAGTAGTGTAAATATTAGTTAAATAATTATTCATTAATAGAATATTTAATGGAATAATTTGATAATTATAAGCATAATTAGTAATTAAAATTTATTAAAATAATATGTAACAATTAATGAAATAATAAGTATAAAAAGTAATCAATTGATTGATTATTTTAAATTATAATTAAATAATTAATTAGATAGTTATCATTATAATTATAATTGATATACTTATTAAAATAACCTCTAAATAAGTTATAAATAAAATACTTATTAACTAACACCATAATTATAGTATTCATAATTATAATTTATTTGTGTAAATTAAAATTAAAATTAATAAATAACTAATATTTAAAACACTCTAATTATAGTAATCATAATTCTTAAAAGCAACAAAATTTTGAAAAAAAAAAATATTGATGAAAAGTTATCTCAAATGAAGTCTAAGTGTACAAATATATATTTAGTATACAATTAGTACATAATTATTTAATCTCATATTCTACTCATTGAGCAATATGAGTAGGTTGAACAAGTTCAAGCACAGAAAATCATTGTTATTTTGTAGAGATGTTTGGCCTATTTAGGCTTTGTTTGTTTGACCGTTTTTTTTGCCTTTTCCGTTTTTGGAAACGGAAAATTTTTTTATGTTTTTTGGTTCGTCAAATCACGTTCCCAATAACTCATTTTTTTAATTTTCTGCAATTTTGACAAAACTTTTTATATATGCTTCTCTGTTAGAAAACTCCATTTTCTAAGCTAATATTTTTTAAAACTATCTTTTACAAAAACACCAAAAAAATAAACGAAGCCTTAGTATACTTATCCCTTTCTAGAGAGGTACAAGAAGTTTTGCAACCTCCATTTGAGAAACAACACTAACAAGTCTTTATCCCGATACATGGTCAATTACATGAATCATTTTTCTCCATTATGTCATATTAAGAATCAAATTCTCATTAAAATCTAATAAATATATATATTTTAATACTTTATAATCTTTTTTTTTTTTAAATCTATCTACCTTTCTTAACATAGACAACCTATATTTTGCAAAGAAAAAAATGCCGCTAGTTCAGACACATGAATGACTATGATGAAGCACGTAAGAAGAGATGTAGGCTTTATTTGGGACGGCTTTCTTATTGCTTCTTAAAGTAGCTTTCAAAGTAAATTTTTACTAGAAAGCTGATTTAAGAAGCAACAAAAAATACTGTCTCAAATGAAACCGAAGTCTCCAGAGTGGGGATGGAGCAGAAGTCTTGGAGGCTTATAAGTTTCAGCTTTGACATATTCATATCAAAATTTATAGATTTTTAAAAATAAAAATTAAAGAAATGAAGACTACTTACACATCAAGGAAAAATAAATCACTAAACTAAATCCACAAATGCATATGGAGACTACAATCACAAACATTTCATTTCAAATCAAATACAACAAAACTGACTGTATAGTATAAATTACCACAATATAATGCATTTTTTTTCCTTGAAAAGGTGATCCTCTTCTCTATTTGTTCTTACAGAAGAGCATCAGCTATACAACAACGCAAAAGAAATTTGCTTTTTCTACAGCCTCTCGAGCTCAATGAAATGTTTTTAGATACATTTACTTCCAATTTTAACCACCAAAACTCAATGCTTTCTCACAATACAAACACAAATTAATGGCCTCAGCTCTTTCCAGGAATGAGCAGAACCGACAACAAAATGGCATCATCTGCTCAACTGAGAATAATTCAAAGCTGAACAGCAGCATTCCATGCATTCGGTTGATTTTAGAAGACTCAAGGGATCAAACCAAGAACCAAAAGAGGAATTTGGCTTTCCCAAAATCAAAAGAATAAATCGTTCTCCTCCGCTTCTCTTAAAACCCCAATCTGAGGCTTCGTTTGGGACGGCTTTTTTACTGCTGCTTAAAGCAGCTTTCAAGTATTAAAGATTTAATTTTTGTACTAAAAAATTGCCTTAAGAAGCAGTAAGAAAGTCATCCCAAATAAAGCCTGAATCTTAAGACATATCACTCTTGAGCATTCTCTCTCAAAGCTGTGCTCGGTGCCAAGTTGGCGGCGGTAGACCGCTGAATCTGAGTTTGGAAGGCGTATTGTCGCAGCAAGTCCTTCAATTTCTCCAGCAGGTCTTGGAATGATGGTCGACAATGGGGATCGCTGTTCATAAAGATTAGAGGACAGAGTTATAAGTATGATTTAAATAAAAAAATATTCGGATGGCATAAATAGTTATTTTTTGCAAGATAAAAAATAGTCTTGACTCTTGAGTATTTATTTGAAGTTTACATATGCCAGCAGCTCTCAATGATTGAAACCCATCGCGAGTCCAACTCCTTTGGCAGCTCCAATCTCTGATTCATGAAACCTACTGCACCAACGACCTGGATAACAAAAATAGGGTTGTTGAGAATAATGAAGGAGATTGATTTTAGCATGGAAAGGTTCAAAGAGATTCCAATTGGATGCGTAATATGACTGTCTTTCTAGTTTCTACCATATTTATAATTTTTTCTAGGCAGAATTTCTGCAAACCATGATAGAACATATTGTATTTGGAGGTTCGATGTAACCGTTAAAGATTATAATTATACCCAATATCGTGTTAAACCTAGATTTCTATTAATATTTTAATATTAGATTTCTACACTTGCACTCTGAAGACAAAATCTCTCATGAGGTTCGATGTCATCACAAAAAATCTCAGGTTTATGATGCCCTCATGTAAATCTTCAACAGCAACATTACTAATGTAGGATGCCTGGAGAAATTATTTTGTGCGGACGCCGAACACCGTCTGGAGACCAATAAGAATGTACCACGTCATCCCTTTCTCGGTACTGTTTGATACCACAGCTCGGTATTGCTGACACGCATTCTGGTTGGTCTTCGAGCGGCGTTCTACGTCCGGTCTCCGCACAAAATAATTTCTTGGATGCCTGGTGGTTATACTTTAGAATCAGAATTTAAGAAGAAAATGATATTTGTTCATAGCAAATACCGCACCATAGCACAGAAGTCATGTGAAGTCATAGCACAGTGTGTGGCGCAGACTATTAAAAAAATAGCACAAAATAGTAAAAAAGCAGAAAGAATTTATTGAAAATTCAATAATATAAGAGAAAAACTATTATTTATATTATCAATGTAATATAAATAGAGCATAATATTATCTTAAAATATTTAATACATGCATTAAAAACCCATATAAATTTATTAGTATCATATACATTTCACAATGGTATCATAGAAGTTCATGACAATGCACAATTCAGGCGAAGGCAAATGAGTTGTGTAAATAGAGAAGGAGAAAATGACCAAAATATTAAAAAATCAAAATAATTTCCAACTATATTAAATATCATTTAGATCCCTCCACTCTTTAAAGATAAATTAAAATAGTCACATCATGGGACTATTTTGATTCATTTTCAAAGACTTGAGGGACCAAAATGTTCCTTTAATAAGGTTAGAGACCATTTTGATCCTTAATAAAAAATCAAGGGACCATTTTGATCTTTTTCCCAATAGAGAAGTGAATCAATAAAATTTTCATGCATTCAAGAGTTGGACAGGACAAAGTAATAATTCTTGAGCTGAACAAATTAATTAAAATCAAGTCAATCTTATATCAAACATCTTTGATCCACAACTTAAACTTCAGAATTTCTCCTTCATTTAACCGCTTAGTTCATGCATTCAATAGTTCAACATTAATATCAAATGCCAGAAAAACAATAAAAAAAAAATAAATCGTGAACCAAGTTCAGAGGAAAAAAGAAAAGTAAATGAATAAATATCAAGCCCAGTAACAATTATAATGAATTAAAACATGAATATTATATGAACTAATACTAGAAAAGAAGTCAGTTTTTCTGTCATATCTTGATATATTTGAACTTTTTAATACGTTTCCTAGGCTCGCATATCCACAAGCCAAAGAGAAACAACACCAAGTAAAAAGAGAAAAGTTCTGTCACAGAGAGAGCTTTGGGGTATTAACGAATGTTTAGATGACTTAGAAAAGAAAAAGAAAAAAAAAAATATACCGAAAAGATGGCTAAAGTATAGAAAAATTTTTTGTGGAAAATATCATTCAACTTTTTTCATTATAAAGAAGAGAAAAGGGAGAAAAATATATAATAAGCTTAACTTAAGGGCAAATGACATTCCTAATCAGTGAATTAATTATAAGATATAGCCTTATTTCTCATCTAAATATAACAAAGATTGCAATATTTATAACTCCATAAGTTTGCCTAGTAGATTATCATACAATATTTACCGTAGGTTGAAACCACTATGAGAAGGATAAGAATTTCTACTACCTATAGAATAAATACATTTGCCCCATTTTTGTAGTAGCACATTTTAGCTTTCCTAACCACCCAAGCACTACCATACTACTTCAAACGGTTTGCTTGCAGGAGATATGCGCGTCAACATGAATTCCACTTTACAGATATAGGATTTCATTCCCCTTGAGTTAGATTGTAGTTAACCAGATTTCCCCTAAGGGTACTATCAAGGTTTAGTTAGATCTGGGTCCTTACTTCCCATGAGCACAAGTACTCATAATTAATTATCCCTCATAACGCATAAAAGAGAACTCTCAATTAAGGAATAATAAATTTTAGGTATTTTAGTCTCAATTGTGGGGGAAGATGGAGGTAAACCCGATCAAGATCCCATGGTTTCTTCGTCCCGGGTACATTGTAGGTTTCAGTCTACCAACGCTAACAATCAATGACCGTAGTATACAGAGAATCTGCAAAGCAGTCATGGGTTGCCTCCTCTTAGGGATCATGAGTAAACTCAAATGGTAAGACGTAAATTTTAGTTTATTAGGGTTTTGAGTTTATATCTATTAGAATATCCAGAAGTTAGTTTGGTTTAGGGTTTATAACTTTGTTTAGAAGTTACCCAGATGTTTAAATTTAAGCGGATCTTACAACTTCTCCCAGAAGTAGCCCGGGTGTTTGAATTTGAGTGGGGACTTACAGCTTTTATTGAAATTAGCTTGTAAAGCGTGTCTTACGGCTTTTATTAGAAGTAGCCCAGGAGTTTGAATTTGAGTCGAGACATACGACTTTCATTGAAAGTAGCCCGTAAAGTGGGTCTTATGGCTTCTATTAAAAGTAGCCCACTTGTGAGTCTTACAACCTAGTCATATAAGCTAAGCTGTCCGTTATTTTTGTTTTTGGTTGTTTTGGGTGTTAGCGTTATTGCAATTTATTTAGGATTTTCCCTATAATGTGAGTCTTACGTGATGTGATGCAATGAAGGAGTTACACAAGAGTTTTAAAAGAAGATCAAATTTTAGCTCCACGAATTATATAATTATGCATCAAAGTTAAGTCAATTAAAACAATTCGCGATGTTCAATTTGCTAGGCAAAGAAGCTACAACAAGAGGGCTAAACCATTTAAGCAAATGCGAAAGAAAAATAAAACAACGGCTAGTAAATAAAAATCCCACGGTTAATACCAAGTTGTTCACACTTTGAGACCTTTAAAAGCAACTACTACCCTCAGGGGTAAAATGGGGAACTACGAAAATAAAAGCATAATATAAAAAACTGATGGTACAAGTAAAATCAATAATAAAGGCTCGCAATTGTGGTCGTCGATCTCCGTGGTCGTCTCTGATAGACGTGCCGAAATATCCTATCGATGACCTCATCATTACGACTTCACTTAAAAGTTGTTAATTAGTTTTGGTTGACAGGCCTTACGACTCCCTTAAAAGTTCTCTATTTATTTAGGTAGGACGGGTCTTACTGCTTTCCTTTGGAAGTAGCCCAATGGTGGGGTTTTACAACCAAGCTCTATAAACAAGGCTGCCCATAGGTTCTAAATTTGGTTATTTGGGTTTTAAAATTATGCAATTTATTTATCAATTTCCATAATATGTGGATCTTATGACTTCATTTAGAAGTTGTCCATTGGCTGGTCTTACAACTTAGCCCTATAGGCTAAGCTGTCCATTGATGTTGGTCGAGGGTTTGATGCTTGGTTTAGAAATTTTCCAAAGAATAGGTCTTACAATTTCACTTAGAAATTGCCTGATTATTTGGGTAGAGCGGGTCTTACTGCTTCCCTTTAGAAGTAGTCAAATAGTGGGTCTTACAACCTAGCCTTATAGGCTAAGCAGCCCATTCATTTCATCTGGATTTGGGGCAGGTCCTATGACTTCCCCTAAGAAGTTGTCTGAAAGTTTGTCATATAATTTAATCCTTTAGACTAAGATGCCCGAAGATTTAATCGTTTGTTTGTTTATTTGAGTGAACAGCAGTTGTTTGTTAGCTTAACATTAGATTGTGCTACTAGCACGACACTTACTAACCAGTAGTTATTGTGTGGCACTAGTGCTTCTGCTACAGTACTTTACTCTTTTTCTTTTTAGTGTCATAGACTATACTAGTAGTTTCTTTACCAGTAGCATGTTTCATATGGAATCCACCTTAGCTTGAGGGGAGAGAACAATCTCGTGGTTTGAGCTACTTTTCTTGAGTTCATCATTTGTTTCATATGGAGGCAGGGTATTGGATCAAAATCAAAGCTCTACACCCTGAGGCCAAGCATGCTACCAACTAGCCATACCATATCAAATGATTTCTGAGATGGAGTATGAGGCTAGGCTTCGGACTACCATCTCTTAGTATGCTTTAGAACATACTTCTCCATACATTGAGAAGAAGAATGATGCCTTTAGCCTCTTGAACTTTTTAAAAGGGACGCATCTTTGTCCTTAATTCAAACTACAACTAGAGAGAATTGATAGTGAATCTTCTCTGAATTAAAAGATTTTTATTTATAGAGCAATTGCTAATATAGATGGATTACGGACCTAATAAATAAAGGGGGGAGGTTGAAGAAATAAGCAGGGGATATTGCATCAAGAATGAATTGAAACTTTTCTTGCATAAATCTCTGGCGAGTATAAGCGAGTATAATGATTTACTTCAGGCGAGTATCTAGAAGTGAATGGTAGTAAAAAGATGCCAATTGTTTGTCATGATACTCTCAAAAGAAGCGGTTATCACTCCTATACGAATGGGTGAAATATTTGGTACTTTCTCTTCAGAATCTAAACTAAAAATGGAATAAATGGTATCATTAAGATAAATACAAATTAAAGTTAAAATATCAGGAAAAAAAAACATTTTTATTTCTCTTTAAAATTTAATTTACATCCTAATGCTCATAATCAAACTTGATTTAAACAGATATTTCTCGCATCAATTTCTAAATACCTGCTATTAATAATTCAACAAAAAAATTTTATGTTTCTAACGTAATGCAATCAGTAAGTAATTCAAAAGAATCAGGAACAACCCTCCCTCCATCCTACTCCCACAGAAAAACTAAATCAGGACAATCCGGGAAGTCTTTTAACTTGAGAGGACGCAAACAAGCAAATTAAGAACAAACAAGAATCCTAATTCAATAACAAGTTCATAGATCAGTAGCTTCTAAGAAATCCTTCTTTATAAAAGCAAGAAATAGAACTAAAGTCGTTCACACTAAAGGTCAGCAGAAACTACACAAATAAATAAAAAATTATCACCCACTCGTACATTCATAACCATTTTTACAATTAGAATTTTTAAGAAATGATCACCAACTAGCTTATCACTTCGTTTGATATCAGAAGCGTTCTGTTTTAAATGGAGTACCTGCATTGAATTGAGATTGTCCCATGGGATTGTCTCAGTGACAAGTTCCCATAAAATGACACCAAAGCTGTACACATCAGACCTGTATTTCAATAATAAAAATTTACTTGGTATTTATACCCGACTTTTCAAAAAATAAAATGAAAAATAAGTTGCATGGAACACAAGAAGTGGATGTTAACCTACTTCTCATCCGATGGTTCATTGCGAAGAACTTCTGGAGCCATCCATTGCGGCTAGAGGAAAAATAATTTAATTTTAGTAATGCAAACACACATCAGTAACCAACAGAACAGAAATGTAGAGGTTCAACGGTAAAAGAAATTGGAAGCATATGTGGGCAAACACACCGTTCCCTTCCCAGTTTGTGTTGTTAAGTATGTTTCATGCTTTAGACGTGAAAGTCCAAAATCTCCAACCTACAATGAAGAGACGAGAGAAAAATGATGCAAATGGAGAGTCAAATATGCTTTTGAATAAAGAAAATATACCTTCACAGTCCAATTTTTATCGACCAACAAATTGGATGACTTCAAGTCACGATGAATGATAGGAGGGTTGCAATGATGAAGATAATTCATGCCTCTTGCCTATCATAAGCAATACAAATAGGATATAATGATCGTTAATTAAAAAATTGATCATATAACACAGATTTTCTGACTCATCAGAAAATTTATGCAGATGGAAATGTTCCAGCTAACAAGCAAGAAAAATTAGATTCATCAACGAACTATAGAACGAACACTAACCTAATGTTCGAGAAAAGCTTTACAAAAAGAGAAATTTTCCCTTAAAAAAAAAAAGAAAATTTTTCCCTTAATCTGGTTGATAAGGTTTGAAAATGGTTTGCTGTGAAATATAATTAATTCCTTACGAAGAAACTTTGTACATAGATCGATCTATTTCCCAATTTATCGAATAGTCGTGTGTTATTTTACTAGGAGTATTTTTGTGATTTCAATGTAGTTTTCAATTGCCCTATATTTTCATTAAAAAGGGGGCATCATCATTATGTTTGATATGTTAAAGATTAGGATTGCGTATTTATCTGTAAAAGTCAACCATCTTTATCAAAATAAAATCTGAAACAGTAGCTAGAGAATGCAATCACAATTTAGCAAATATGTACGAAGTTCTTTTTATGTTTAGTGTGTTTATCTTCTTTCTGTTTTAATCTCTTTCTATAATTTGAATGAGAACACGTCTAATTCCCAACATATGGGACTGATGAATATGCTAAGTTTAGATTTATAAAGTATTATATATAGCTAAGAAGCAATGAGATAATGGGAACACGACAAAAAGCTAGGAATATCTTTATGAAAAACTTTTCCGTCTATTAAATGTCAAACAAAATGCACATCTTACAATAATTTTTTTGACACTCCATTTTTGTCTAATTCTTTTAACAGACATTCTACTTTTGTTGAGGAATTTCAAAAATATTATTTCCGATACTATCAATAGTCATGTTTAAAATATGCTGGCTCTTATCATTAATATTTATTTTTTATCTCTCTTATTCTCTACCCATCCTTCCTTTCCATTGCCTCCAATTAGACCTGTCAATTTCGGGTCACGGGTCAGGTTCGGGCCGAACCCGAAACTAACCCGGCACTATTCGGGTTTGGGTCAACCCGACCCGTTTTTGCAAACGGGTCAATTTTCCGGACATGACCCGCTTCGGGTTCGGGTCAACCCGACCCGACCCGCGTTGGTTTGATTTTTTGAGTTCCAGCACGCGAGGCGACGAGGGAAAGCGCAGGCGGGGACAGCAGCGGCAGGCCAACAGCGTGCAGCGGCAGCCGGCAGATGCAGCAGACGCGGGGCAGCAGCGCTGGCGGGGGAAGCGGACGCGGGGCAGCAGCGCGGGCGAGGGAAGCACGGGCGGGGGCAGCGGGCAAGAATCCAAATTTTTTAAATTAAACGGGTTTTCGGGTTGACCCGGCAACCCGTCGGGTCAACCCGAACCCGACCCGCTTCGGGTCAACCCAAACCCGAAAATTCTGGGTCGAGTTTGGGTCGGGTCCAATATTGACAGGTCTACCTCCAATATCTGATGTTCTTTGGAGGACTACTAACTTCTCCTTTGGCACTACATGTTCATGAGGGTTACGTCAAAAAGGAACAAAACCTTTTGTCTCATTACATCCTCAGGTTCATGCGACAAGTATAATGTCATGTCTCCTCTTTGCTTTCCTCTCAAAATGAATTTGCAATAACCACTTTCAAACCTTAGCCAAGCTCTCACCTGAGAGCCCTTGATGTAAACACACTAGTAAGAAAACTGAAACAAAGAGAACAATGGATAGAACTCAACCAGACTCTATTCAAATAGTAGCAATCATCTATGACATTCAAATTCCGACAAAGAAAACACGAAGAGCCTTCAAAGAAACAAAGAAAATAAAAACAACGCTATCCTCAGACAACCGTCAGAGCGTGTTCCTCATATGCATCGAAATGTAGGCTAAATAAGATAAGTGCATAGGGCTAGCAAACCGATGGTACACCACTGCAAGATAGTCCAATTCTTCCAACAAACACCACCAAAGCTCATGAAGAAGGATACAGATGGAGTGGAACTTGCCGAGAGACGAAAGAGATTAGAAGCCAAGACGAAGGGTGGAAAGAGCTCGTAAGATTTCCAAAGAGGGAAGAGAAGGAGAATGGAACAAGCTCGCAAGATTTTCCAATAACCCGCAGGTCAATAGCAAAATTGCTCACAATATTCAACTACTCCTTCACAAAACATCTCATATTTATAGGTAAGAAATGAGAATGTCAACAGCCACTTTAATAAATTTCCACAAGAACCCAAGCATCATAAGTCACAGATTTCCCCCTTGCTTTTCACGGAAAAAACAGCCCAGTCAAAGAACCGAAGAGGCAGCCACAGAACCAAAGAGGCCTGCACAGAACCGAGGCGCCAAAAGACACAGAAAGGCCCCCAGCTCGGAAAACCAGCTGCCAGTCGAAAAACCAAGGAGTAATGGCACGGAATTCATCCAACATAGGAAGCCCAAACACAGCCACAGATTCCCAAGAGACAAGGGAATATTTTAAAGAAGAAAATGGAAGGAGAAGGGACAAGTCCACTCAAAAAATTGAATCCAACTTATGAGCTTACCTTTAGAATATTAATGAGCTACTAAACTTCAGCTCATCATTAATGAGCTAGCAACTAAGAAAATGAGCTCAACTCCAACCTTCTCCACACATCACCATAGGCCCCAAAACCGTGGACCATAAGCCAACCCGTGAACCAGCAGCCAAGGACCAATCGATCCAGCAAACCAAAGGTCTACCAAGCCCCACGCACAACCTACCATGTTCATTGGATGCTTTCCCATTATTGGATAGCTAAAAAAAAGAAAAGAATATAAAAACATACTAATGTTATAAATAAAAATACATAATATTTGATAGCATCAGTTCCCCCCCGGTGGAAAATTCTCATCTCCTGATGAGAACGTTTCAGCAACTCTTTCATAAAGCTTCAAATTTCGATTTTTTAGATCAGCAGCATCAATCCAGGTGCAATCAGTCAATGATCGATTGCTCCATTTGACCAAGAACCTCTTGTGTTCCCCATGTCTTATTTTAGTGACTTTTATATCAACAACATCTTCAATTTGATCTTCAGACTTTGCCAAAGGAGCAGAGAGTAGTAAAGTTTCAATGTCTACAGAATCATCAGAATTTCCTTCATACAAAGACAAGTCAAAAATATTAAAAACAGGAGAAGTGTCAACAATATTTGGTAGGTCCAGTAAATAGGCATTAGTGCCTAATTTTCGAAGCACACGAAAAGGGCCAAATTTCTTTCTGCTTAACTTTTTAAAAGTACCAACAGGAAATCGTTGGTGACGAAAGTAAGCCATAACCAAGTCACCCACATTGAAATTCACTTCTTTTCGATGTTTATCAGCAGTAGACTTGTACTTAGCATTAGTTTTTTGGAGTTTTTCAAGAACCTGTTGTTGGATAGTCTTTATGTGGTCAAATGTTTCAAAAGCTTCGGCACTAGTTTTTTTAGGTAAGGATAAGGAGTTTCTATCTAAAATGTAAGCAATGGGTTGCTCATAAATAATTTTAAATGGAGTTTTGTCAATGGATCGATTAACAGAATTATTGTAAGCAAACTCAGCCTGAGGTAACACTAAATCCCATTGAGACGGTTTTTCTCCAGCAATGCATCTTAACAAATTTCCCAAGCTTCTATTGACTACTTCAGTTTGCCCGTCAATTTGAGGATGATAGGCACTACTAAATTGAAGAGTAATTCCAAGTTTTGCCCACAGAGTTCTCCAAAAATGACTCAAAAATCTAATGTCACGATCAAAAGTAAAAGTACGAGGAATACCATGCAGGCGAACAATTTCTTTGAAAAACAAATAAGCGATGAAAGAAGCATCAGAAGTTTTCTTACATGGAATAAAATGTGTCATTTTACTAAATCGATCCACAACCACAAAAACAGAGTCAAATTTTTTAAAAGTAACCGGCAAACCCAAAATGAAATCCATAGAAATATCCTCGCAAGGTTTGTTTGGAATATGCAGAGGAGTATACAAACCAGAATTTTGTACAGTTCTTTTAAAAGCCTGACATACCGTACATTTTTTAACCAGTTTAACAATGTCTTTTCTCATATGAGACCAAAAATATTTTTCTTCAACTAAATCAATTGTTTTTCCCTGCCCAAAATATCCTTCCAAACCTCCACTATGCAATTCTTTCACAAGTTGTTCTCTTAAAGAACTTTTAGATATGCAAAGTCTAGTTCCCTTAAACAAAAAACCTTGATGTATAACAAACTGAGCAGAAGGATCAATTCCAGAAGTAAAACAAGTATCCCAAATATTTTTAAAATCAGAATCACTTGCATAAGTATCTTTCAAAAACTCAAAAGAGGTAACATTTGGAAAAAAGTTATCAACAAGTGAGACCTTCGACTTAAAGCATCAGCAACCTTATTTAAAATCCCAGTTTTATGTTTGATATAAAAAGAGTATTCTTGCAAAAAATAAACTCATTTAGCATGTCTTTATTCAGATTCTTTTGTGAACCAAAAAACCGTAAAGCCTCATGATCAGTATTCAAAATAAATTCTCGTTGAACCAAATAGCATCTCCAGAATTTCAAAGCTTGAACAATGGCATAAAATTCCAAGTCATATGTAGAATATCGAGATAGAACATCATTTAATTTTTCACTAAAATATGCAATAGGCTTTCCTTCCTAACTCAAAACAGCACTAATACCAACATGTGAAGCACACAATCAACTTCAAAAACTTTTTCAAAATTTTGCAGGCTAAGAATTGGAGTTTGACTCATTTTGACTTTGATCAGTTGAAAAGTAGTTTCAGCCTCAGGGGTCCATTTAAATATTTCATTTTTTAAACAATCAGTGATATGAACAATTACAGAACTGAAGTTTTTAACGAATTGACGATAAAAAGACACTAACCCATGAAATCCTACTACCTCACTGATATTTTTAGGAACAGGCCAGCTTTTTCTTGCCTCAATTTTCACAGGATCTACTTTGATTCCCTTAGCAGACACAATGTAACGCAAGA